AGATGCATCATGATGGTACAGTGATGAATCACTAAGGGTGAGAGACAGTGATGACACTGTAAAATTTACTAAGAGTTTTCTCCTCGTATGACTTAATTGCCGCTGATTTAAGGACCCTCAAGAAACGAGCTTACTCCTTTATAAAAAGTTGTCAACGCACCTGCTATTCCTCTGTTGTTGCACTTGTAATCAGTTTCTTCTTCTATAGAAAAAACACGCTACAGCTGTATTACGGCTGGAGTAAAATGGGTCCGCTCGTGCGTATAAGAACATACTTACAGAATAAGGCTATCAATATCACTGTTGCTCATCATGAGTGCACTGCTGAACATAGGCCTCCTTCATAGATCACTACAAAGTAGATGGTTCAAGAATCTACATCTAACGATTACTGGAGTGTTTACTTAGGTCGTCACTCAATATGGGGTGGAATTGGTCATGCAATTCTGCCCTTTCCAATACGAGACTGTCACTTAAGAACCGATCTTCCCGATCGATTGTCGGTTGGCTGCGTGTTGTTAGAAATAAAGTCACTCAAAGTGTTATGAAAACGGCTATGCTTTTATAAAATAACAGCGTAAAATAGCAGCTTATAACGATCCCGTTTTCCCTGTTTGGTCCTCCGGTGTTACGTAGCATCTGCTTTTTAATACTTAACGAAGGATATATTAAGGTCCACGGTATCCCTTTACCATCAGGGACCCTGACTTAATACAGTAACGCCACATTCCAGATTCGAATATGGCTAAGACTCATCCAGGTGACCATGCCCTTACTTTGCACAAATTTAGAGTTTTTTGTAATATTTCTTGACACGCATAGAAAAAGTGACAAATCACATCTAAAGAAAAAATGTAAATCGGAACTTTGTGCATCTAGAAAAATAACCCATTATAGTCTACACCTCATATTTTATTATACATTATATATTTGTCATCTAGTCATAAGCAATGCAAGTTTCATTCTTCTAGCTTATTGGAAAGTTAGTTTAAAATGGATATAAAATTTGCACCGACCAGACAGAGAAGAAAGCGACTTATTAAATACTTGGGAAACAAAAATATCTGTCACGAGGGAGACAACGTAATGGAGGTAAAAGGTATCAGTTATTAATTACAACCTTTGATCCGAAATGGTCGCGCACAAAGCATTGCATTATGAAACACGTCAATGACAATCGCAAGAGTTTGGTTAATTTACGCGAGTACGGTTAACAAAATAATTAGCAAATGGATTTGAACAATGCGTTCCACTTCCTATAACGTTATCGGTCGCATTGTAGAGACCGACAATAATAATAAATGGGTGAATAATTTTTCATTTGTAGGCTTCCCCTTATTTTAATAATTACATTTAAATAAAACTAGTTTTTACAGATTTTTTCGCGATTAATTTTAACTTTTTTTTAATTCCCGACGTTTTGGGCACTTTCAGCACGTGAGTAAGAAACCGACTTCAGTGTCCATGGTAACGGGGGGACTGAGGTGTTTGACGTACCGATGTTGAAAGCTACCTTCAACTTTTAAATACTAATTTTTGGTCCGATCTACGCAGAGTAAGCTACCCAGAGCTATACAGTATCTTGAATTCTTGCATTAGTATGCTTGGATTTGGATTTTATTTTATTAATGATGGGATCCCAAGCTGACCTTGCCAACTTCTCTATTGAAAATAGGATGCTTTTTTAATTTATATAGCCTCACGAATTATCCTTGAATACGGGCACTGGAAAAAGTCAGAAATGTAGGGAATTAAAAAAAAATAATTTAACGCGAAATAATCAATAAAACATGTTTTATTCCATGTGCAGTATTCGCGTAAATATAAGAAATAATTATAATATTTTACTTAAGACCTACGTAAAATATCTAAAGTGTTACGTCTTGTACCTTTTTTTTGTAATTTCAATTGTAATTTTAAAGTTCTCTCTTGTAATGTTCAAAATTTAAAACTTACTGCTAGCAAACGTTGACATTATAATTTCCTCACCACATTTAAGCTATCTTTTTCATTTTAAAGTTCCAAAGCGCTTATTTATCATGTAATATCCTGGACGGGTGCTTGCAAACGTCCCGGCATTGTGTGACATCCATCAATAATTCATAGAGTCTCGTGAGTTATGGCGACGACAATCTTTGCGGATTTCCTCCTGCTTCTAACAAGGTCGATGCTAAAGTATTTGCTATTCGAGGTAATAAAGTTTGAATGGACGGGAAATAGGTAAAAAGAAATTTGTAATTTTAAGTAGCAAGGGATCTATTCCAAGCCAAAGATATACTATTACGCTTTTTTACACAAGTAAGAAATTACAAATGAACACACAGTCTACCTGATGACAAAAGGATTCTGTTTCCCAGCTATATATGAGCCACCTTGAACTAAGTCAAGGGGGCTCATAGATAAATTGAACCGTATATATTATATATATTATAATATATATAAAAACCGTATTTATAACTCCAACCGTCACTGACTAAGAATGAAACGCCGATTCGTACTCAACTTGAGGAGTAAGAGGAAACGTCTCGTTACCAGTAAAAATGGTCTCCGGTTCCCATTACTCACACTACAAAACACAGCAGCACTGTGCTGCTATTTTACGCTGGTATCTTTGTGGGTTCATTCTATTATATTTATATTAACTCATTCTATTATACTCATAAATATAATAAGTCTTATTACAAAATGTGGTTAGTAAATAGTCTCAGGCTTAATGCTTCTTCGTCATGAAAGACGCGGTGCCACAGCGTTTGGTGGTCAAATACTATATATTTAAGTTCGCATATTTTCGGAATATGCGAACTTAAATATATAGAGGGAATAGGATTTTTTTTTATTAAAACAGACGTTAGCTTAAACATGAGACTAATTATAGTTGAACTAATAATATGTACTACGTACTAGAACAGACACCGCTAAAAAAATCCATGCGGCAGTTCGGAGCGCATGACAGGAAGCGCAAAATACCTTTTTATAGCACAGACTCATTAAGTTGAGTTCGCGGGCTCTAACGCGTATTGCAAATAACCAAGTCTAAACGTGTCTTCTAGATACGTTGTACATAATATTACTTCGAGTTATAATAGGTCGGCAACTATATAAAATATTTTTTGTACGAAGAATAGTCTGCAAAGGGTGGCAAAATGTTTTAGAAATGTAAGTAATGTGCTTGCATTTCTGCCATAAGGTGAAATTTTAAAGATGCGTAAAGGTGTCTTTTATTTGGTATATAGTAAGAACGTTTAAATATTTTAAGCTGAAGTGACAATCGTACGTATAGTAATAACTTTACATCAGAAATCTCAACAATTAAAAAAATATAGAAGAATTTTCTTTTTTCAAATTGTATGTAATTTTACTATTGTTGCAGTGGTCGGTAAGTAGGTTTATTCAAGAGCTGTACCGCTTGTCAGGTAGAGGAAATAAACAGCATATGAACAACTTTTTAATTGCAAATAAAAGTTTAATTTAATTTAAAAAAAATCGGTTCCGATACAGCACTTAACGGGAACCACGGGGTTTTTGTTACATATTGTTTGTGCAGTGACAGCACATTAACAGCAAGTGTTTTGTGCAATTTTTGGAGGAGGCCTATTTTAAGCAGTGTACAGTTGGCTGCAATGTTGATGATAATAAAGATAGAAACTATTTATTATTTGTGTATTGAACGGTGAATGTCAGAATGGCTTAAAAATCGAACTCCACGTTTATTGAAAGAGAATTTTTTATCTCATAAATTTTATAAAGAAGTCCAATCAACATTAATTAGGCCACTACATCTAAATGAGTGTAGTTTGCTTAATTATTTAATAAGATTCTCTTAAATGAAATTTTTAGAAGAAGGAACAGTTACACCATTTACTGTTTTTTTTATAAAAAACAGATTTTGGATATTTGATTAGTATTGCTTGCCTTACATTGCCAAACTATGAATTAAAGTGTGATTCTTCGAATTTTTAAATAAACGGAACGATCACAATAAATGAAACTTATTTTATCTATATATTTATTATATATAGAAAAAAATTCTCAGAAATGAAATATATCAAGACAAGCTTGAAAATTAATACGATCTGAATTGAAATTTAGAGCCAATTAGAGCCTTTTTTGGGAGACCAGTACCGTAATATATAGAAGATGTACAACCGTGTAGTATTTTATAGATAGGTGAAAAAACAGTCCACTAGTTCTCCCATAATTTTTTATTTGGTAATGTAAGAATATCTACTTCCCCATATCGTCCAGAGGGTGTCGTGAGAGGCAATAGAGGGTAGCTAAACCAGAAAATAAGCAGCGTTATCTTTTTGATAACAAATAAAAACAAGTAGTAAAATTAAAAACTTCAATACGGCCTAATCAATGTATTCGAAGTCAATTAAATACGCTTATTAAAGATAACTCAAAAACCACTGGTCAGATCTTGATTAAATTTATACGGGACCACTCGAGAAGCACCAGCTTTTATATAAAAAAATAATCATCAAAAATCGCTTCACCCAGAGAAAAGTTATGAGGTAACACAGATAAAAAACATACAGACCAATTGCATACCTACTCCTCTTTGAAGTCGGTATAAAATAAAATAAATGCGTTTATCAACCTTAGCAAGCGTGTCAACTAATACATATAAAATAAACATGAGCCTTCCCCATAGATTGCCTCATATGGGGAATATTTTACACAGTTGCCACGCTTGGCAAATGGGTTGGCAACCTCAGTTTTAATTCTTAGTCATTGTTAGGAAGATGCTGCTGCTCTTACGACACCCATGGGATGATTTGGGGTAGTGGATATTCTTAAACCGCCACTACACGGATTCACTTTGTACCCTAGCAAATACAATTTTTTTAGATGCATGTAATATGTCTGTCCAGCTATGAAAATGAACGACTGGCTGTAAGAAAGAATGAAGAAATATGTGCGTCTGTGTGTTTAGTTTAGCACGGCTTCGTATGTCTTTTGTTTTCGATCTAAGGCTGGTCTGAGGCTGACACATATATTTACAATAGACCTAACAATCGCCTATAATAAACTCCGTTGATCTTCATAACGCCAATTACTGGTATCTGCTCCTTATCGTCGTCAGTTTGTTCCTTGCTTATTCCAGTTTCCGAGTCCAAGTTGTCTCCATCCGGTGACGGTTTCTTCAACAGCTGCAGGATATTGCGTTTGCCCATTCCATTCATACCTTTGCTATGTTTGCTTGCTTTTTCATTCATTGATCTGTGAAATTATAAACATGTTTTCGTTGAATTCCATGTCTGCAATTTTTTATTGAACAGGAACATACGAGCACGATGCTCTCCTCAAGGTACGTGATGACCTCCGCCATAATTAAAAAGTTGTTATAATATTAACACTATAAATGTATTATCTTTCGTAGTGGCTCCATTATCAGTATAAATATTTAAGTAAAGTTCTAAAGTTGCTGAGATATTTGCTGGGACCCTAATTTCTCAGATGTTTAAAATGCAAACCAACTTCAAAACTAAAAAAAATAGTTCTACATAACAGATTATGAAGGTGGTGAGACAAAGCATAGAAGAATGATAAGTCTCGACTTTAGAAGCAATTATGTGAAAATTATTTTGTCTTGTTATTTGTTTTTTATTCGTAAAAAAATCAATAAAAGTTTATTTATTTTACTCTTTTCAACAAATATAACAACAATAATTTGTCTATATATACAATAAAATCTTCATTCCCTACACCCGCGTGCCAAGAGTGTCGGCAACCGCATTGTTTTATTTTTTGTCGTTAAAAGGAAGATGCTGCTACTCATGTCCCGATTTGTTTTCCTCTGTCGACTCTTACGGCACCCACACGATACTCGTAATACTTCGACTGTCTCGTTGGCCTAGTGGTTGTATTAGTGCGACTGCTGATCATGAGGTCCTGGATCGGGCCAAAAAATCAATTATTGTGTTTTTCCGTCAAGAAATTCTCAGTAGCTGCCCGGAGTCAGGAAGTTGGCGGTGTCTCACACCCGTGCCTAGGAAAGCACATAAAGCTGTTGGTCCTGCGCCTGATCTCTCTCCGGTCGCGTCAGTTTACCGTCCAATCGGATTATGAGAGTAAGGGAATAGAGAGTGCACGTGTGTTTGCGCATTCACTTGGGCACTATAATCCTGTCCCGCGCCGATGGCTAGTCTCCGTTGAGCAAGGCCGCCGTGACCGAAATTCGTTCTGGAGAACATTATTATTACTCGTAATATGGTCATTCATATAAACTAGTTAGAATATTTAATGCAAACCTTTCAAATTCATCATTACGCTGTAGTTCCAAGTTTTTCATTACTACTTCAACAAAACGTTTTGCCGCGTTTCCTGCAATTGCATTAGCTAGTCTTTGAAGATAATCCTTAGTAAATACTGATCTTAAAGCTGTTACTATATCTTTTTTATCGATTTTAATCATGATCGGTTTTGTACTTCCATAAACAAAATGTATCATGACAAACAGAAAAACTAATAGATTTTTCAAATACATTTCGTCGTGCAAAGTTTGATGTGATTTTTAATTGACTCTTGTGTTCATTCATCACAATAACTTGACTTGGAGTCGTAAAATTGATTGGAAATTTCGAGAATCTGGCTCCAAACATACTTATCTACGTTTTTATGCTTAAATTTTAATTACCTTTACTTTATTCCATTCTACTTTATTAAAATTTCACTGCTGAACGTAGGCCTCCTCCATAGATTGCCTCATAGATACGATTTTGCCCTAGTTCCCACGCTTGGAGAGCGGGTTGACAACCGCAGTTTTTTATTATTTTAGGTTGTTATCAGGAGGATGGGGGTCATTGTAGAAGCGTGCTCGTCGCGACCCCTGCCAGCCCTTTTCAGTGCTGCAATTCTACACAGCTGCGCACCCATGCAAACGAGGGTTAGGGCGTCCCCCCAAGGCGACGTACACCAGCTCGTCCCCGTTGGTGTGGAATGCAGCGCGCAAAGCGGCGATGGGGACCGCCACCCGTCACGCCCAGCCCGACACGGCGGAAGGTGGAGAACGGAGTGCAGAGTTGGCACGTGGAATGTTAGAGGGGGGCATGAGAGATAAGACGAATGAGTTGATCGAAATAATGAAAGAAAGAGAATTAGATGTCGTGTGTATGTCGGAGACCAAACGGAAGGGCAGTGGTACTGAAGAGCTCCCTGGCGGGACGTTAGCTATATGGTCCGGAGTCCCGGAAAGCGAGAACGCCTGCCAGGGAGTGGGAGTGCTGTTGTCGTCCCGGTTGGTCGATCTTATGACTGAATACAAGGTTGTGAACTCAAGACTTCTCTGGGTTCGCTTCAAAATGGGACTGACGAAGTTATTCCTTTTGGCTGTTTATGCGCCGGTAGCTTCGTCGTCCAGGGCTGAACTGGAGGAGTTTTGGGAGAATGTAAGAGAAGTTCTAGATTTGGTTAAGGGAAACGAAAGAACTGTTGTATGTTGTGATTTGAATGGATGGGTAGGTATCGCTCGACCAGGATACGAGTCGGTGCTTGGAAAGTTTGGCGATAAAAGGGTTAATGATGCTGGCAAGCTTATACTGGCTGTATGCAAGGAAAAGGGTCTTCTTGTGGCAAACACTATGTTTAATCACAGGAAAATCCATATGTACACTAGAGAAAGAAAGAATGAGAGAAGTATGATTGATTTGTTCCTGGTGAATGACCGACTGCGAAAACAGGTGATGGATACACGAGTGTTCAGGGGTGCTGACCTGGGAACGGATCATTATCTAGTAATTACTAGATTTAGGGGTTTGTTCGCGGGTTGGCGCTACCGGACGGCAGTAGCAGAACCACAGTCGGTCTGTCGCATCCGAAACTGGAAGCTTCAGGAAGCGGATACTAGGGACAAATATCACACGAGGGTAGCCGAAAAGCTTGACACCATCGATGGCAGGAAAGAATGTGTGGAGAGAACATGGCAGAACCTTAGGGATGGAATGGTAAGTGCAGCGGAAGAAGTATGTGGTAAGACAAAAAGAGGTAGTAGTAAAAGAAGAGATGCATGGTGGAATGATGAAGTGAGAGAAGCTGTAAAAAAGAAGAAAAAAGCATGGTTAGACTACTTGGCCTCTAGTAACGATGAGCATATGAGAGAGAAGATGAAAGAAAGATATAAGCTGCAGAAAGTTCATGCGAAAACATTGATTGAGGAAGTACGTGAAAGGTGTAGAATAGAAGCGGACGAGAGGTTGTCGCACAACATTAGAGAAAACTCCAAACTCTTCTGGAAAGAGGTTGGAAGGTCCCGGAGTGGTGCGACAGCCTTTAGAATGAACAAAGTGCTTTCGAGAACCAATGACGTCCTCTCAGAAAAATCGGACGTCATGCAGCGATGGAGTGAATTTTATAGAGAAATGTATGCGTGTCATGATCTTAGTGAAGGATCCGGGGGTGACGCCGTGACTGGCACGCCAGACACGGACCTCGATGACACTGAGGTCATCAGCATGAAAGAGATCGAACGTGCGATTCAAAGTTTGAAATGTGGAAAGGCTGCGGGACTAGACAGAGTTACTGCTGAAATGGTCAAGTACGGTGGGCCTCGCGTCTGGGACAGCTTCCATCTGCTGTGCAATTTGTGCTGGCGGACGGGAGATGTCCCGGATGATTGGCGATCCGCGGTCTTGTGCCTTTATATAAAGGTAAAGGTTCACATTTTGACTGCGGGTGCTATCGGGCGATCAGCTTGACCAGTTTAGCAAGTAAAGTTTACTCGAAGGTTTTGACACGTAGGACGCAAGAGAAATCAAAATTCTTATGGGAGGCACAATGCGGATTTAGACCTGGAAGAGGATGCACGGATCAAATGTTTTCTCTCCGCATGATCACGGAGAAGCTTCTGAGTGTTAACCAGAGGATTTTCTGTGCTTTTGTGGATCTGGAGAAAGCATTTGATAAGGTTATAAGGAAGAAAATGTGGGAACTGTTGCCGGGATATGGTGTGGATGGTCGATTGTTAAGGGCTGTGCAGTCACTTTACTATGACTGTAAAGCCTGTTTGAGGGTAGGGCATGACCTGTCACCCATGTTTAGCGTCCAAGCGGGCGTAAAACAGGGTTGTGTCATGTCTTCCTGGCTGATCACACTGTATCTCGACAGCTGTTTACAGAAGCTGAAAAACAGCTGTTTGGGTGTGAAATTGGGTGACATAAAAGTTAATTGTCTGCTGTATGCTGATGATGCAGTGCTTATTGCACCACCAGAAGCAGAACTGCAGGCATTAGTCACGTGTATGAAAGAGGATAAGGTCTCCGTTTGAATGATAATAAAAATAAGGTTCTGGTATTTGAAAAGGACGAAGAGAGAACGAAATGTGAAATATGGGTAAATCAGGAATGTCTAGAACAGGTAAATGAAATTGTATACTTGGGGAGTGCTTTCAGCCGGGATGGAAGATGTGATTTAGATGTGGATATGCGTGTCGCTGCCGGAAACTAAGTCAATGGTGCCCTGAATGCATTAGTAAAAAGGCAAGGCGTGGTGAAGAGTGCACGCCTTGCAATACATAACGCAGTGTTGGTACCGACTTTGTTATATGGCAGCGAAACCTGGGTATGCCAGAAGAAGCATAAAAGCAAGTTGAATGCAGTGGAGATACGATCTCTTCGTAAAATGTATGGCGTTACCATAGCCGACCGAAAGCGAAACGAAGAGATTCGCAATATGGGAGGATTGAAAGATGACCTTATCACAAAAATTGATAGGGGCGTACTCCAATGGTTTGGGCACGTTGAACGAATGAGTGAAGACCGAATGGTGAAGAAAATATATAGAGCGAAAGTAAATATTAAAAGGTGTCGAGGTAGACCGAGACTAACTTTCGAAGACCATGTGAGCAAATTGCCCGAAGAGGGGAGGGTCAAGAGTACTCGGATACCTAGACGTGCATGTATGAAGAAGTTAATGAACCTGAAAGAAGCGAAAGAGGTATGTAAGGATCGTGACACTTGGCGATCTGTTCTCTCTGGCTACCCCGTTAGGGATTGTGCGTGAAGATAAGTAAGTAAGTAAGTAAGTATCAGGAGGATGCTGTTGCCCTGTTTCAGTTTCCCTTTGTCGCCTCTTACGACGCCCACAGGACGATATGGGTTCGTGGATATTCTTACACCGCCACTGCACAGTATTTACACGTTACTTTAATCCATTCGACAGACATGTATGTCTTGATACTTGGATACGAAAAAAGTGAGAGAGTTGTGTAATTATCGTGCAAATGGAAGTCTGTAGTATCTGCAGATCCGTCTGAGTAACAGGCGTAAAAGTTTACCTTAAGTTTAAGTTTGAAACGACTTTATACAAAGTTATATTATTCTGGTGATTGAGGGCAATATTGTATGTTATTTGTATTTAAATAATTTTAACGATTTTTGAAAATCAATAAACTGTTTGAAAATGAAAACTATAGTATAGATTGCATTATATTATTTCATACATAAGTGCATGTATGTGGTTAAACCAATTTGCAGCTATAATATAGTTGTAACGCAAATGGCAATCATAACCATGGTGCGGATAAAACAGCAAGAATCATGTCGCATACATTTCAAAAGACTTAAAATCTTGACTGTTTCATGCCTGTATATACTGATCTTACTTACATAATTAGCAAAAGGTATTTGCGAATATGAGACTATAGACCAAAAAACAAGGGAAAACACCAGGGGAAAAGACTTTCATAATAAAACCATCCCTCGTATGGTTATGACTAGACACTCTTCTCATTACCAATCAGTGCTTCTGTTTAATAGATTATCTATTGGTTTAAAAAATATGTTATACAAGAGTAGCTTCAAAAATACTTTTAAAAAGTTCCTACTGGAAAAATGTTATTATAGTGTTGACGAGTTTCTACATGCTAATGCTATTACATAGAATTCAATGTTTTTAAACTTTTGATGACATTTTAAGAAATAATTGTATTTTTTCCTAACAAATTTATTTATTATTCTTTTGTGATATTTAAAACTTTAAATTTTATTGATAGTGCTGGGATTTGACTTGCAATTTTTTGATTAAAACTCCTTTTACGGATTTTATCGCGTTTTATTTATATTAATTTTAATACCCGACGTTTCGGGTGCTTTCCAGCACCCATGGTCACGGGGGACTGAGGTGACTGACCCCTGTCAAAGTTAACCCGGAGTACCTTCAGCTTTTTAATTATTGTTTTTGGTCCGATCTACGCAGAATGAACTAACTGTATTTTGAAGTCTTGCAGTGGTATGCTTGGGTTTAGTTTTAATTTTATTAATTATAGGATCCCAAGCAGGTGGTAGTACCCAGCCTCCTTCTCTATTGAAATTAGGATGTTTTTTTAATTTCAATAGCCTCACGTATCATCCTTGGTAAGAATCGATGTTCTTTCGCGAGGATTTGTGGTCTATCAAATCTAATGTAATGGTTGGGGCCATC